AATGAGTGTTGAACAAAACACAATCCTTTTCAGAAATAAACATAGTTATATACGCCATACAAAACGATTCTTTGATTATTATTGCTGTATCTTAAATGTACTCGTACCCAACTGTTACTGTTTAAACATAATATATTTATTGTATATATTTTTTCATATTGTACTGAATTATATAATTGCTGTTATCTTGAAATTTGTATATTGTACTTATTTGGAGAGGATTATGTTAAGTTGTTATAACTTGTATCCAATCCTATTGTTTATTTAGACACTAAAATATGTTTAAACTAGCTATTCTGTATTTCAAACATGCAAATATTATTGCTAATTTGATGAATAGACTAAATCAGTATCAGATTGACTGATTATTCAGCAGGAGTGTCTTACACTTGAATCAGATGTCATTTCTATATCTCTTGTTTCATCAATTTAAACTTCATTTCAATATTTGTTTCATGTAAGTCAATACCTTCCTTTCAGGGATTGATGGTTTGATGTCCTAGTTTTTACAGGTTTTTTTGATGTTTTTCTGATTATACTCCTTTTCATACAATATAAACACTTATAATTCTAATAGCTGTGTCCTTACATGATTAATCGTAAAACTCGTGATTGAGCATATATATCAATGGTTTAAGAAAATATCTGGGAGTCAAGCGTGGTATTTTTAACATGTCTTTACATGAATAATTTATGACCCTGGATATGCGTAATCATGGCATCCACAACTTATGCTTCTCCCACCAATAAAAACAAATGTAATTTTATGGCACGAAAGAAATCTTTTTTTTTATTCGCTCCGCTCGGTTCAATGTTTAAGATCCCGAATCAGAAGTTTTAACATGTTCTTCCAGAAGAATATTTTTATCTAAGTTAAAATCGAATGAAGTTGTTGTAAATGTCAATGAGACCATAACAGGCATATCCAAATAAAGTTCCTTGAAGTCACAAACAAATAACCCACTTGAAGCTCTAGATCCACTACTGATTTATTGAATAATAATAATAGAAATAGAAATTGTATACCTTTATTCTTTTGTAATGAAAAAAAAGTATTGAACTAAAATATTTAGAATTTAGGGGTTGGAAAATTTTATATCTTTGGAAGGGGGTCTTGAATTTATTTTCTTTTTTCAAGGGAACTCGATAAAAATAGGAAAAATTCCAATGTTTCCTTCCATTTTTTAAAATTTTATCTTATGTGATTTCAATGTAAAATCTGAGTGCAGAAATTGTAGTTTGACCTTGACCTCCAGTTTTCAACTCAGTTTTATTTAGTCATAATCAAATATGCAGGTGTGTCGACCTTTTTTGTTTTCTTTCTTGTTAACAAATGGATAAACAACCACAGGTCAGTAAACAATAATATATGAATTTGCTGTTTGACATATGCATCTGTCTGATATAAAGATATCTATATATACAATATTGTATTGACGTAATATTAGCACGATATTGTATGTGTGATTCATTTTAAGGAGTAAATATGCAGCTGACATGTATCATTTGGTATCAGTTTTATTGGCCTTTAATATTAGTCAAATACTACAACAGGCGAGGCTTTTAAGTGTATCAACTCTTGTGAGTACTCATACCCTGACCAGTATCAGAATATTAAGGTCACAACATTACATTAGAAACAGAAAGATATCTGACAGCACAAACATCTTGAGATTAAACTTGTTTTACAGACACTACTGCTACCATGGTAACATGGTAACATGGTAACTTTAAACTTGATTTACTTAGAATACTTTAAAAGTGGTAAGATCGTACTGAACATGGTAAGAAGATAAAACTTGTTATGCATGCCCTAATAGAAACATGGTAATGTTTAACTGGCTTTACATGCCATACTTTAAACCTTGTTTTACAGACCCTACTCTAAACATGGTAAAATAAGACTTGCTTTGCTTTCCATACTTTTAACGTATTTAGAATGAACTTGTTTTAAAGGCCCTATTCTAAACATGGTAAGAATAAGTTTGTTTGAAAGATCCAACTCTAAACATGGTAAGAAGATAAAACTTGTTTCGCAGGCCCTATTCTTAGTATGATAAGATTAAACTTGCTTTACATGCTATATTTTAAACGGCGTAAGATTAAAATTGTTTCACTGGCCCTGTTCTTAACATGGTAGATTACACTTGCTTTATCAACCACACCCTAAAGCTGAGATTTTTCTAATTTTGTTCTAAACGAAGCAACGTCTTGGTAAATGTATCACAATTTGAATATCCGAAACTGTGGTCGTGCATGATGTATCATAAGGGATAAAACCAATAATATAGCCAATTTGCTTTCTATGTTGAATTCTGCAATTTTAAGCATTCATAGTTATTTTGTCTTCAATTCAAATAAAGTAGTGACAGTCATTTCATGTCAAAACTATACCTTATCCTGACTTGTGCTGAAAATTTCAACATACCTTTATTTGCATATTAGAGCGCACTGGTTCCCGTAAGTTTGGTAGTACAGAAACATGTTCTTCTGAATATGCCCTCCTATTTTAATTTCTTATATTTTTTTATTATCATTCATAACAAACTTTCAAAAAATGGCTCTACCGTGATCCCAAGTCTATAAGCTTTTATTTCATACCAAAATTACCCAAATAGTTTACTTATTAACAAAGTTACAGCTATGTGTGGGAACTATTTTGTTAAATATGTACTACTTTCTGTTCTTTCATACCCGGCCAAATAAATGGTTCTATACTTTAAAATAATTTTTTTTTCTAGAAGCATTATATTCGCAGATTTAAGAAATCAGACTTCTCTATACCCTGACTTTTGTGAAATGTATGTTTACACAGGTTTGGATGCTGGATCCCAATTATTGTCACATTAACCTATTATGTCTGTTTGAGTTGCTCACACAAATTTGTCAATACAACGGAACTATACATAATTGTCATACAAGTGGGAGGATACGCTAGCTAGAAAACCATGTTTAACTCGCCATTTCTTCGGAAAATGCCTATACTAAGTCAGGAATATGACAGTTGTTTTCCACGCGTTCGGTTGGTTATTAATTTTATTTTGCCTGGTTTTATCAGATATATTGGAATTTTTAAGTGTTTTCTTGCAAATTTTCTACTTTCAGATATATAAGATTTAACATTTATATATTTTGAAGAAATAGTTTATTTAAGAAATGACTAATATTTTTTCTGTCTATGAAGAAATAAAATAAAAATGTGGTGCACACTGAATAACCAGCGTAGCGGGTTATTTAAAAGTGTGCACCACATTTTTGAGGTTATTTCCAATAGACAAAAAAATATTAAAGTCATTCCTTATAATTTAATTATAAATTCCATTTTTAGGGAGTAAACCATGAAAAAACGTTGATGACGTCACGGTCACAAGACAAAATTATGTCTATGAGCTGATAGACAAAAAAACTTTCAGCTTTCAGAAGACGTTTTACATCCAAAATTAAATTATTAAGATTTATATGTAAAGTTATATGTATCATTCCACGAAATAACCAAATCAACAACTTATCAAATGAAAAAAATCACAGTTGACGTAGAGATAGGGGGTGTTAGAAGAGAATAGTTATACAGTTATTTCATCAACAAACAAAACTGGAAAACTTGCAAGTGCTGTATTCTCCAATCGTGTAATTTTCTGCTTAATAACCGTGTTTTTATGCATGATTTCCGCCAATTAAATTAATGATAACAGTCTTTCTATCAGTGCAACATACTACTGAAGATAGTGTTTTGATTTACTGAGTTACATAATACCTTTTGATACAAATATTTTCCTTTCAATATATCTCTCAATCCCTGGAGCTGAATCGTCATGTTGTGCTTTTTGTTTGTTTTATATTTTTCTGACGTTAGTTTTTACCTATCCTTTTTGCGCATGTTTTCATTTGTTTATTTCGTGACAGAATGCATTGTAATCTATTTTACAAGGACATTTTTTCCTGAGTGGACTATTAAAAAAGCAAAGTGATATATTAGATTGACAGTAGTGAGGCATTATTGATCAGGAAGTTTTAAAAAAAAAGACATATTTCCTAAAACAAAATCGGAATTTTCTGTTTTTCGCCTATGGGGATAACTGAAGCTATGTAAGGTAGTTTTAACTATGTTTCAAAGCATGATCATTTACAGCTAGTGTGTGGATTTTTTCTGCCTATATTTATGGGAAATAAGCGCACCTGGTGGCAAATAAATAAACACATGTATTCAGAGGTGACAAATTTGACAATAAACAAATATAAACTTGGCCGTAAATAATACCTATTACTAGTATATTGATCAACAAATCACCTCGACTGACCATAATTGTTCTGCACAGAAGAACATTTGGACCTTAGAAAAATGGAAGATAACTTTGTTCATATTGAAAGGGAACCAGTGACACAAGAGTCATTTGATAAACTTTACCGGAAACCAGAAGGAAAACTACATTTCAATGACAAACTGAAGGAGAATCTTAAATGCTCAACAGACAGTCTCTTGAGAAGAATCTCCCCAGTGTTTCCTATTGTAAGAACGCTGAGATATTATAATTTCCGGGAAAAATTTGTGAATGATATCTTAGCGGGAATTACTGTTGGACTTTTTCAAATACCGCATGCGTTGGCTTTCGCATTGTTAGCATCGGTTAAAGTAGAGAACGGTCTGTACACATCTTTCTGGCCTGTTATGTTGTATGCAGTATTTGGAACATCGATCCATGCATCGTTAGGAACCAGTGCCGTGGTGTGTATGTTCACTGGAAGCATTGTGGATCGAGAAGTTGCGAAATATGAAAGCACGGTTACTTTGAATTCATCTATAAGTTCTGGATTGGTAAGACATTCCGAGTTAATGAACTACAAAGAAAATGTTGCTTTAAATATTGGATTACTATGTGGAATTTCTTTACTTATATTTGGCATTCTTAGAATAACTTTTATTTCTCACTTACTTTCGGAACCTTTTATGAAGGCTTTTACATCTGCAGCTGCTGTTCATATTATAATATCTCAATTACCATTAATTCTTGGCATAAAAATAAAAACGCATGGAGGTGTCTTTAAAATCATTCATATATTTAAGGATATTATTAACAATTTAACATACATTAAAGGACTCACACTTCTGACCGCTGTAGTTACAATTATTGTGTTGTTATTCGTCAAGGAATTTGTAAATAAAAAGTTCAAGTCAAGATTAAGAATACCAATTCCGGCTGAATTACTGGTAGTTATCTTAGCTGTGGTCATTTCGGCAACGACTGCCTTACACAGGGAAGTAACAATTGTAGGACATATCTCAGGTGTGATACCTCAGCCTGCCATTCCCAATTTGTCTGGTTGTCAAACGTACTTATTAGACAGTTTTGTTCTAGCCATCTTCATGTATGCAAACAATACAACGTTGTCTAGAATGTTTGCAAAGAAACATAACTACGTGGTGAATTACAACCAGGAATCATTTGCTCACGGAATATGCAATTTTGTTGGATCGTTCTTCCATTGTATACCTGTATCTGTTTCTCCTCGGAGGTCAATGGTATTGTCATTAATGAACACCAAAACTACTTTCGCTGGTATTTATATAAGTTTGTTTATGCTAGTTATAACAATTATCAGTAGATTCGTTTTTCAATATATGCCAATTGTAACACTTTCTGCAATAATGATGGTTGCAATGAAAGGACTGCTGCTTCAAATTTTCGATGTCAGAAAGTACTTTAGAATCAATAAATTTGAGTTGATTATATGGCTTTGTACATTCGTTGCCTCTCTACTTTTAGACTTTACCTTCGGTATGTTAGTTGGCATAGGTGTTTCTTTATTAACTGTTGTTGTTCAGACACAATTAGCCAATGGCTTTAAACTAGATAGAACGATTGAAAGCAAAATAATGGTGGAACATAAGAAATACCAGGGAACAGTGGGAACTAGTGGAATAAAGATATTTAGATTCCAGTCTAATTTGTACTATGCTAACGCAGAAATATTTAGAAATAAACTGTACCGACAAACAGTCAATCCTCGCAAACTTCTGAAATACATTAAAAAGCAAGAGAATAAAATACGAAAACAAGTGAAAAAAGCTGAAGGTTTACAAAAAGATAAACCTGAAACTGTTCAAAACGGACTCTCTGAGGATGAAAAAATTAAAAAGACATCACTTCAAAATATTAAAGTTACAGATCAAAATTGTGTTACAATTACTAGTGACATCCCGGCTATCTCGGTTGGATATGGAATGAATAGAAGTATTAGTACTGTATCAAGGAACACGTACGGCCAAGATGGGATATCCCGTCAAGAGAGTGAAGCCGTAAGTCTGTCATCAACTATTTCAAACCTTACCTTTGAACCGGAAATGACTGATCCTGACGACGGCCAGGAGTATATCACCGAAAGAAAATATGAGAGCATGCGCAAAGTGCACCATGTCGTTGTTGATTTTTCTACAGTCAATTACATTGATCTAACCGGTGCCAAAATGCTCGGACAAATATCATCAGAATATGGAAATGTGAATATTAAACTTTTTCTTTCCAGTTGTTCTCCCGACATTCAGAAAACCATGCGACATGCCGGTGTATTGGAAACAATCCCAGCAGACTGTATATTCATTGATTTGTATGACGCTATTGCGATAGCTAAACAGGCCGTACTTCCAAACTTTTGCCGTAGAAATGAAAATGTTATTGTATCAGTAGATGAAAAGTTCTAGACATGTTTTAATTAGGACATTCTTTACCCCACGTCTGTTTACTTATTACTTATTACTAACTTTTGTTAAGTTGATATAGTGCATTTAGGTCTTTATGACTTGTTGTATATCTACATTAAATTATTGTATAAGAATTGTTTTAAAATCTTTGACATATAAAGGTTGTCAGATGTATATGCATAATAAACTTTCAATTCCCTAGTCAAAGCTTATTGATAAAGTGTATCGACAACTGCCATAGAAGGGTTAAAATGTCAGTAAAGATGCTGCAAGTAACTTATATTATCTTATCAAATACATTAGCACACCATTACTGAACAATTTTGTGGTATTATAGTTCTAAATTTCACTTAACATTACAATCATCATGTAATCGATATATAATCGAGTCCATTGTAAATGCTGTCAGATGGAAAGATATAAGCATTGTTACATTCAAAAGGCATTTCTTGATTAACCCTCAGTAGGTACACTCAGAGCAAAATATCTGAGCATTCAAAAGGGAAAATAAATACACGGATTTCCTTCTAAGCAGAATGTCTAACTTATCTATCAAGTCTGCCAGAGGGTGTTGTAAAACCGGCGAAATGGAAGATCATAATCACATGATAATTATATATTTAACAAGTGATTACATCATCATTACATATAATGGTATGCCACCAACTGCACATAGCCATGTTAAACCATCATCAATCAATCAACTGCAATCTCAATTCTAAAAACACAAAACTAGAAGAAGAAAAAAACTTCTGCAAATCTAGACAATGATTAATAACCATGGGATTGCGTCGACAGTGTAAGCATTTCGTGTTATGCATGCATCATCCGTTATAAATTCAAAGTCATATCATGTAGGCTGTATCAAAGTCTGAACCTGTATTCGCAAATGGAAAATAGTAGACATTTTGAATCTATGACTGATTTTAAATGTGCTTGGTTAGCTAAGACAATGAAACCAATGGATGGTGACGAACGTAGAACTTAAGGCCTTGTTACCGAATTTATACTTACCATCAGTAACATGACTGGTGCCGCTAGTTGAGCAGGATCTTACCTTCCGGAACACCTGAGATCAACCTCAGTTTTAGTGGGGTCCATGTTGCTCAGTATATATGTTTATGTTCAGTTATATGTACTTTAATCTTAGATAAAATATTTTTTTATTAGTTTTTTTTTTTGTTTTTTTTTTTTGTTTTTGCTTTGAACTAGCTTTCAGTAACAGTGAGTACTATCAGATCTGTACTTTGTGTCTTTTGTGATTTTGTTAGTTGTTTATGTGCTTTGTATCCATTTGATGAGTTACGCCCTTTTCAACTGATTTAATAGATTGTTCTCATGTGTGCTGTTACACCACTGTCCCAGATTAGGGGAGGGTTGGCGCGCCCGGAAGCATGTTTAACACAGTCACATTCTTTATGTGCCTGTCCCAAGTACGTGGTTGTCGTCTGTTGCTGTTTATAATATTTGTTTTTCGTTAATTGTTTTTACATAATTCAGGCCGTTAGTTTTTCTCGTTGGAATTGTTTTTCATTTGTCATTTCTGGATCCTTTTATAGCTTCCTATGCGATATGGGTTTTGATTATTGATAAAGGCCCTGCCGTGGCCTTTAGTTGCTAACCTTCTACGTCATTTGGTCTCTAGTGGAGAGTTGTCTCCTTGGCAATGATACCACATCTTTTTATTTTTAACGTCTTTCGTTTGTTGCACGGTGTTGACGGGTTTTCTTCTACTAATGTCCCATTTGTTTCTTGTGACGTGAAAATTTCAGTCGTTCCTTATAACCACCTTACTTGATTGGATTATATCTCTGTGTACCACATTCATAATGAGAACACAATCTGTCATATTGCATTAACCAAGTTAGGGTGTGACAAATAAGTTAGTCATTACCCAAGAACGTGAAGTAACAATGGGAAAATTGAAATAGTAGCATTGTCAAAGAAGTGACTTTTAATGAATTTGCTAAATGATTTTTTCTTAGTTTTAGAAAGTATTGTTGCAACTTTTCTTCATGTGAATACAAGAATACGTCGGCTAGAAGTATCACACAATTAGTACAACGTCAAGATTAGATACCGACTGTATTAGCGAATATCTATACACAAACTAAACAAATATGTCATCGATATAGAAAGTCCAGCACGTTTAGACTTTTTCAATCTAGATTGGTTGATTTGATTGATTGATTCTTTTCATGTCGTAATTTTGAGTTATAAGGTTAAAATCTAGGAAAATCTTAAATCAGTTTGGCCTATTATTCATGCGTACTGACACTGATTTAAGGAAATAACATTTTGTAAAATTGAGAATGGAAATGGGGAATGTGTCAAAGAGACAACAACCCGACCATAGAACAGACAACAGCAGAAGCTCACCAACAGGTCTTCAATGCAGCGAGAAATTCCCGCACCCGGAGGCGTCCTTCAGCTGGCCCCTAAACAAATATATATACTAGTTCAGTAATAATGAACGCCATACTAAACTCCAAATTGTACACAAGAAACTAAAATTAAAAATAATACAAGACTAACAAAGGCTAGAGGCTCCTGACTTGGGACAGGCGCAAAAATGCGGCGGGGTTAAACATGTTTATGAGATCTCAACCCTCCCCCTATACATCTAGCCAATGTAGAAAAGTAAACGCATAACAATACGCACATTAAAATTCAGTTCAAGAGAAGTCCGAGTCTGATGTCAGAAGATGTAACCAAAGAAAATAAACAAAATGACAATAATACATAAATAACAACAGACTACTAGCAGTTAACTGACATGCCAGCTCCAGACTTCAATTAAACTGATTGAAAGATTATGTCTTCATCATATGAATATCAGGCACAATCCTTCCCGTTAGGGGTTTAGTATCATACCATCATAACATATATGAGAAGAACATAACCCGTGTCATGCCAACAACTGGTTTTTAAATAAATGTGTTTAGTGCCGATGCAAAGACCCTATAAGTGAATCAATATTAACTCCAAAATATGCAATCTTTAATGACCTGACAACAGTATCGTAACTATATCCCTTCTTAATAAGTCTATTTAAAGGTTTTGTTAGCTTCAGAGGTGAATACTGACATTTTTGTGCTTTATAAAGAATATTTCCATAAAAAATTGGATGTGAAATACCTGAACGTATAAGAAGTCTGCATGTTGAGCTATATTTACGAATGATGTCCTTATACCGATGATAAAATTTAGTAAATGTTTTGACTAGTTTGTGATATCGAAAACCCTGGTGTAATAATTTTTCAGTAAAACATAAATTTCTCTCGTTAAAATCTAAAACATTGTTACATACACGAGCGAATCGTACAAGTTGAGATATATAAACACCGTAAGATGGTGACAAGGGAACATCACCATCTAAAAATGGATAATTAACGATAGGAAATGAAAAATCATCTCTTTTATCATATATTGTAGTATTAAGCTTTCCATTAATGATATAGATATCAAGATCGAGGAAAGGGCAGTGGTCATTGTTAGTATTACCTTTATTTAAAGTAAGTTCAACAGGATAAATTTCTTTAGTATACATACTGAAGTCGTCATTATTGAGAGCCAAAATATCATCCAAATATCTAAAAGTATTATTAAATTTGTGTATCAGATGTTGTTTCGATGGGTCTTTGCTGATTTTTGTCATAAATTGTAACTCATAGTAATACAAAAAAAGGTCCGCAATAAGTGGTGCACAGTTAGTCCCCATTGGAATTCCGATAACCTGACGATATACGGAATCTCCAAAGCGAACAAAAATGTTATCTAATAAAAATTCAAGGGCATAAATAGTATCAAAGCATGTCCAACTGACATAGTTTTTTTGTTTATTGCTACTAAAAAATGACCTAAAAGAGTTTGAACATATATATTCACATTCTGACTTTTTAAATGCCCATTTAATTAGGTGTGTGAATTTTTTCTTAATGAGAATGTGAGGCAATGTGGTATATAGGGTAGAAAAATCAAAACTTTGAACAGATTCAAAATCACCAATATATGCATGTAATTTATCAAGTACTTCCAACGAGTTCTTGACACTCCAAAAGTAATTAATTCCACTATTTTCGAAGGCCTTATTTGAACAATTTATTATCAGGTTTTTGATTGTACCTAGTGTACTGGTAAGAAGAATAGACAATTTAGTAGTGGAACAATGGCTTGAAGACGAAATGAATCTATATTTGTAAGGTGTTTTGTGTAGCTTCGGAAGCCAATACATAGTTGGGACTTTCATTGTATTTGGTTCTGCTTGTAAAGCGGTAGCTAAAAGTTTATGTTTGTGACAGATGTCGTTTTCTGAAAATGGAGTCAGTTGGAATGTTGGTGAATTGGTGATTTCTTTTTTCAGAACCTCAATGTAAAATTTACGTCAAACAATAATAATATTATTAGCAGCTTTATCGGCCGGGACAAAAACAAATTCCTTGGCTAGTTCTTTTAGTTTATGTTTGATACGAGAAATAGGTTTATTGTGGTTATTGTTAAGAGTAAAATGTTCTTTAAAATGTTGAATACGTAAATCAACTATGTTCATTACTGAATTAAAAAAAGAGTCCAAAGATTTTTTGTCAGCTTTTTCTCGTTTTATCCATTTCAAACAGTAAGTATGGAGTGAGTCGTGGATGATATTACGACACTCATTCCAATTAATAATTGACGGGGGACGATATTTAGGTCCTTTACTGAGGAATGATTTTAACTCTCGGTCTTGAACGATGTTAAGATCTCCTGTTATAACATGGGAAATGGGTCCATAAATGTATTCGGAATTACTGCAGTTACATGAAGTAGGTGTATTTTCACTGATATTAACATCTTTACACAATTGGCTATAATTAAACACAAATTTCCGGGTAGATTTCTTGTAAATATAACAAATAAGAGGGAGCTCAGTATTATCAAAATATCCCGGAATTTGTTCTTTAACAGAATGGTCGTTAAAAATACCGGCAATATTTACAAAATCAAAACCTTTATTGACATACTTTATTTTAATAAACTGTTTTGTATGATCTTCAGGGCGATCAATTTTGGGAAACAGTTTAGAATAACAATATGCCATTATAATTTGAACGATTTCATACTTAGGACTGCTATATGAAATTGTGTTGCAATCCTCTAAAATTTTATTTAACTTATTAACCGGTAATGAACAGAGCTTTGTTAACAGATAATGTCTGCCGTT